CGAGTCGGACACGACTTAACGACTGAACAACAACAAAGAAAATTATTTTTTCTCCCACAACCAGATACATTTGAAACACAAAGAAAGCTTAGATTATATACAAAAACCTGCATTTATGCTCAGAAAGGTTTTACACATATAAGCAATTTTTTTTGGGATCTGGCTGAGATTTGACAATATATGGGAAGAAAAAAATCATCCTTACAGTGGTAAGTCATAAGGTTTTAGAGAAGGATGTTCCTTAAATTGAATTTCATAAAAGTGGTAAACAATGTGGGACACCATCCCACCAATGATGAAGTCACCAGGCTGGTACCACTCATGTGGGACAGGGATGGTATCGGTTGCTGGACACTTCAGAGAAACTCTTTTCTTCACCAGAAACAGTAGCAGCAGCAATATCATGACTCTCTGATTATGGAGAAAAGGTCTGGGTCTATCATTCAAAGAGAAGTTCATAGAGATAGGAGGGAGAGAACTTGTGGAAATAAACCTCACAGACTCAGAATTATCCCTTCCTGCCTCTCTGTGGCTTTCATAATATTTATATTGATTGTTTTTGACTTCCTATTCCCTTCTGCACAGAACCTTTGAGGTTTTGGCCTACTAAGATAATAGAGTGATTTCAGTCATTCATCTGGGACATAATTATCATTGAACCATTGGCAGACTGCCAATTTTTCTTCATATATGTGATCAACATCATTCTCTACTTTGGGTGACATAATAAGTGACTGCTGCTTAACCTGTTTTGAAAATATCCAAGTATTTTCCTTTTTTTCAGTCTTAAAGCTAGGTCTCTCCATCAGTTTTATTTGAAATTCTATTTTCATATTTTTGTTAATATCTTTGTCTTCTGATTATTAATCTGAAAACCTGCTAACATACCAAAGTCCTTTAATTTTCCCATTAATGTTTCTACTCCCTCTAGTGGATCTTCTAATATTAACACCAAATCATAAGTTTTTTTTAAAATCTGAACTCCCATAATTCTCTCATCTCAGTATCTGAAGAACCAAAATGAACAAAAATGGAGACAGTAGACATTGTTGTTTTGTCCCTTTTTGACTCTCACAAGGTTTTGATAAGTTTCCATTAACAATTATTTGTGATTTCTGAGAAGTATAAATTGATCTTACCCATTTAATAACATTAACACCAAGGTTCATATATTCAAGAACTCCAAAAAAACAAAAACAAAACCAAATTGTCAAAGGCCTAGACTGCATCTAAGAATATCAAAGCAGCTTGTTTTTCATTATCCAAGTATTCCAGAATATTCAGAACATTCCTAATATTAACTCATAGTTGTCTTATAGGTAAAAACCCACAATGATCTTCTTGATCTCCAACTATCAGAAATCTTTCCATTCTATAGAATATTATTCATCATTTGTTGTAAAGGTTGTAAAAGCTCATCTTCAAGGCATTTATAGTAAGAGGCCAGCAACCCATCTGGACCAGATACCTTTCCTTTTTTAGTCTTTTTGATAGCTTCACGCAACTGCATTCAAAATTTGTCTCTGGTTGTCTGTCATCTTCAGTAAATTCTGTTTGTGCAAGGATTCATCCACTTTTTCTAAGGAAATTTCTTGACCTTTGTAAAAAGTAGTATAATACTGATGAAACATTTTAGATATTTCATCAGTATTATACGTTTAGATGTTTGGTTAAGATGTTTGAAATCGTTATACTTCCCTATGACCAGACTCAGATAGAAGAAGCCATACTTCAAGTACAAGCAGAAAGCGAAGGAAAGAGATTTGAGAAGGAGGAAAATTAAGGAGGTTAAGACTTGATTTTGTACATTATATTTTTATACTATTCTTTACATACAAAGAAAGATATTGGTTTTGTAAATAATATTTTCACTTGTATACCATATTAGATCACACTACTTTATTAGTATAGGTATCATAGTGTCCAGAATAAAATTCTTCATTTCTTTAAGTCCTGGTTGTGTCCTCTCCTGACCCACCTCTGATGAGCTGCACTATTCAAAATAACTTGAGTCAATATATCAAATCTCTTAAAAGGAACCAAGAAACCTAGATTCTCCAAGTGTTGTTAGCTTGGTGTGTTGAAGAGGAGAAAGGGTTAAGTTAAAGAACTTTGGAAGATGGTTAAAAATGCATCAGCAAAGCACTTCTTTTCGAATGGGTGACTGTAAATAATAATAATAATAATAATAATAATAATAATAATAATAATAATAATAATAATAATAATAATATCCTCCTCCTTTGAGAGAAATAATGACTTCAATATGTTTCCTGTATACAGCAAATAGTCTTTTATTTATTTTTTGTCAGCAATTTCTCATAGTGTGAAAGATCACATGATGTACTAATTCCTCTTTATTAGTTGCTCCTTTTGGTTTAGCTCAGGCCTGAAAACAATGATGTAGCATTTTGGCAAAAATATGCATCCCACTAAAGCCGCGCCGGGGGACAGGATGGAGAAGACCTCCACAGCTACCATGGCTTTTCCTCTCGTGCTCATATAGGCTGGAAAAAAGGAGACCCACACACTGCAGAAGGCCAGCATGCTGAAGGTGATGAACTTGGCTTCATTAAAGCTGTCAGGAAATTTACGGGCAAGAAAGGCCACAATGAAGCTGGCGAGGGCCAAGATCCCCATGTAGCCCAAGACGCAGTAGAAGAAGGAGGATGACCCCTCATTGCATTGCAAAATCATTTCTTTGGCTTCTGAGTGCATGTCCAACTCAGGGAATGGGGGAGATGTTGACAACCAAAGAACACAAATACAGACTTGGAAGAGAGAGCAGGAAAGGACTGTAGAAAAGGCCAATCTTTTCCCCACCCATTTCCTCATTGGAGATCCTGGTTTTGTGGCCATGAAAGCGACCACCACAGTGATGGTTTTGGCCAGGACACTA